TATAAAAATTAAAGCAAATAACTTTTATAACTAATGAAAATTATAGAACATAATCGGTGTATTCGCATACACGTAAACATATTTGCATGTGTGGGGAGTATGGAACATAACTAAAAATGAATTGAGATTAAGGGTGAAGCGGAGTGATCCATTTTTTTGGAAAAAGACCGGAGGTACCGGATACCTTCAAGATAACAAATCCATCATGTGGTTGTATGATGTTTCAAATAGGCCTCTCTCTCTCTCTCTCTGGTTATTGGAATATATTTAGAATTCAGCTTTTCAAAGGATTTGACATTTTGACTCCTTAACCGGTAATCCCCAAATAACCAATGTTATTAAATTAGACAGCAATCAAAACTTTACAAGATTCATTGTTTACAAAAATGTCTCCTTAATTTTAGCCTGTCATTTTTATTTTTGTTCCATGAAATACAATAAAGTACATTTTCCCACATAATATCTTCTGTTTTAAAAAGGAAAAAGTCGATTTTTTAAAGCGATAAAGTGATCATGCCATACAACTTCCCACAAGATATTAACGAGATCTCAAACACACATAAGATGGATTCTCTTATAAGTATATCCTGCATAATCCCAAATCAAGTTTGTTTAGAATAGTTTCCATAATTTCCTCACATCAAAAAGTTAAAAAAAAATCTGCCAAACCAAAATTCCTTACAAATCATTCATAGAATACAAAACCCAAATAGGGTGGTTTTACTTCTTGGCATAACTGATAGCCATTGAGTTTTGAGGGGTGATCTTGAAACCTTGCAGGGATTGCATTGCAGTTGAAGACTGATTATCATCATCAAACTCAACAAATGCAATTCCTGGTTTTGCATCAATCATTCTCACCTCTTTAAAACCAGGAAACTGTTTGAACAGAAGCTGCAGCATGTCCTCTGTTGTATCATGCGTCAGATTCTGTACAAACAAAATATTGTTAGGTGGTGTCGTTTCTTCTGTGTTTGATCTCCCATTTTGATACGAAGCCTGCAACAACAAAAAAGAAAAACCAACAAAAATTACCATCCTACCCCTGAGAATAACAAAGTTTCTGGAGAATTTGGTTACAAGAAACTTACAGCAGGGGCACCATTGGTGTCACTTCTTGTTCCATTAGTAGTGGCTTGTGGAGCATCTCTCTTCTTCTCAGCTGTCAAAACATGGGAAAATCTTGTATGTTAGATTTATAGTCAATTTATATAAGTATTGGGGCAAATATGTAATTTTTTAACTTACTTTTTTCCTCTTGCTTCCTTCTCTTATCTTTTGGAACGAATGTATTATCTGCTTTTGCAATACAATCTGATTTGCCTTTCGCGTATTGGATCCTCTGTGTTGTATTGTATCAATAAATTGATTAATGATTCTCTTGTTATTAAATAGATTTTTATGAAACTCACCATAGGCTTTTCATAAAATGGGAAATTTTGCATCTGGCGAACTGCATTGCTGGCAGCAGTGACTTCACTGAAAACAACCCAAGCCTGCCCACGAAGTTTTGTTGTCTTCAAAGCAACAACATCCAAAATCCTCCCATATTGAGAGAATAAGGCATACAGAGACCTTTTCAACTCTGATAACAAAAAGAACATGTTACTACTGCAGCAATTTTACTAACTATTACACTTCAAAAATTCCAAGTCAATTGGTATCCTGTGGGGCTACTAAAAGTGGCAACTTCAATAGCTTTTGTTAACCTCTAACATGGAACAAAACATAAATCCTTTTTCCCTAATACAGTCCACAATGCACAAATGTATTTGTTAGTTCCAGATCATATCTTCACTCAAACTTTAGGTGTTCACCAGCATTCTCATTAACAAATGTTTTTAGTTACCACGAAATAAAATTAACAACAACATTTCTCAAGTTCCAACGATTTAAGACCGCTGATCAGAAAGAGAAAGTTTTCCACCACTTCTCCCCAATTGTAGTCAATTAGTGATGCCATATAATTTGCAAGCAGTCGATAGAATTTTACACACTCATCTCTTATATCGAGTAAAAGAAAACCAACATTCACAGCACAAGTGCAAGACTCTCGTTATAACTTTTTTTTTCAAGAAATAGGAATTTAACACTAACAACTTCGAATTCGTGGTATTACAAGTTCATAACAGAAACAGCAGAATAGCGCTAAAACAAATACCTTCTTTCTTGACCTTCTCGTTGAGATTCTTAACGTAAATTGTCTGGTTCGGTGGTATATCGGCCGTCAGCATCGTCAAAGAGAAACTTCGAGATCCTACTGCGATTTTCAATTTGTGTGTTTGCGAATGAAAAGGGGGGAGAACGAATACCAACAAGTTCAAGCCCTAGAAATAGAATTAGACATCTTTCGATAAGTTTTACAAACTACCCTCTGTGTTTGGTAAACCTTCAGAAAGAACCATTCAAGTATTAGTAATCTCACAAAACCCCATTAAAGTTGAGATTGAAAAAAATTTGTATTATCTTATATTTGACCAAACTAGTTTTTTTTTTTAAACGACAAATACTATATAATCCTAAACTACTCCAAAATCCATATATTTTTCCGACGAGATTTGAACCCTTAATCTTAAAGAGGAAAAACAACACCTGAAAATTAGTTGATAGCTAATAGCTAAAAGTTATCAATTTGATTGATTAAAGTTTTGGATAATTAGTAGAAAAATGCTTATGGAAAAATCTCTAATTACCATGTTTTTACTCCTATTTCATTATATGCATTTTATTTTAACCCAAGATCGTTTTTTATTATTTTATGTTACTTTAAAATTATTGAAAATTGTCAAATATCCAAACAATTAAATAACTATTGCAATATGTGTTGTTGTTTGGATTGGTCCATATTTTTCCATATATCTTGTTATAAACATGTTATCATGCAATAAATATGTTGTCAGTTGCTTAAAATATATTTAAATAATGAAAAAAATTTTAAATATTTCTGTAAAAAATATACTATTATTATAGAATATTGTACTATAAATAAATATTAAAAACATTATAGGAACTTTTAAAAAAAATAATAATAAAGACGTTTTATTTGCAAAATATTTTTTGAATGAATAGAATATATCAAGATAATTGGATATTGAAGAAATTTGAATCTTAAGGAGTGTTTGTTTAGTAGGAATGTAATGAAATTTGAAGGAAAATGATTCAAATTCCCTCAAATTCCTGTGTTTGGTTCAGCTTCAAAGGAAGAAAAATGAATGCTAAATGAATTATTTTCCGTTCATATGAAGTAAAGTTCATTCCTTCACAATCTTAAAGGAAAGCACAAGATTACAATTTTGCCCTTGCTAAACATTACAATACATCAGTTAACCTAGTCGTTCATCCCATTCTCATTGAGCCGATATCCTCTTCGCGTCTTCTCCTCATCGTAACAAGGATCGGCCGACGACTTTCAGGTGATCTCTCTCTCTCTCTCTCTCTCTCTCTCTCTCTCTCTCTCTCTCTCTCTCTCCATATTCGAGCCAAACAACACCTGTGAAGCATGTCTTGGTCGATTCATGTTTTCAAGCTATTTGATTTCTGAATTCAAGTGAATCATATCGATTAAATTAAAGTTCGTTTCTAAATTTCATGCTCGATTCATAGTCTACAACAACCGTTAGCTAATCGATTTCTTCACATTCTTTCCATCTTTTTCTAATTTTATGATTTTTCTAATTTCTCCTTCTTTTCACGATTTCAGAAAAACCGAATGTTCTTTCCCTGCTTGTTTTAATTTCGTTTGTCTGTTATAGAACTAGGAAGCTATTCAGGTTATTTGGTTTAATTTTTTTATGAAGCTGTGTAATTCCTTGTCCAACAACTGTTACTGAACAGAGAAAACATGTCTTGGTTTCTTGCTAAATTGATAGAACATAAAACATGTTGTGGTTTTGTTGTTTTACTATCAATATATGCCACTTTGCTTTTTTGCTATCAATGGAATATGTATATTGTTTTTCTGTTTTACAGGAAAATTCCTCGATTTAGTTTAACAACACGCAATCGTAGACAAAGGCAAACTTCATTGATTTTAACATGGTGGAACATGGTTTTACACGTTGTTGTAGTCCTTTTGTTAATGATATTCAAAAAGCATAGGGATAAACAACGTATTAAGCATCTTTCTTCAAATGTAGATCGATACCCAATACTACATAGATACGTTTATGAGAGTGACACCATGTCTATATCACAAATTAGGATGTCTAGAATGTGTTTTAGTAAATTATGTTGTATGCTTGAAACATTGGGAGGCCTAAAACCAAGTAGGAATATGGAGATTGATGAAAAAGTTGCTATTTTTCTGCATATTCTTGCTCATAATGTTAAGAATCGGGTTATAATATGTCGGTTTCATCACTCGGGAGAAACGATTAGTAGGCATTTTATTCGAGTTTGTAATGCAGTCATACGATTACATAGTCATTTGCTTAAGAAACCCGAACCTGTTCCCGCTAACTCTACTGATCAAAGATGGAAGTAGTTTAAGAATTGTTTAGGAGCTTTAGATTGAACATATATAAAGTGTCTAGTTCCAGTCTAAGATCAGCCTAGATATAGAACAAGAAAGAATGACATTGCAACAAACATTCTAGGGGTTTGTTCCCAAGATATGCAGTTTATATACGTGTTAACTGGATGGGAGGGGTCGGCTGCGGATGGTAGAGTTCTTCGTGATGCTCTTCTTAGACCACATGGATTTAAAGTTCCATGGCCGGGTATGTTCTTTTTTAACTATACATGTTATTTATAAATTTTTATTAATAAGTTATTAACTACAATTTTTATCTATAGGTTATTATTTGGTTGATGTCGGATACACAAATGGAGAGGGTTTTCTAGCGCCTTATAGAGGACAAAGGTACCACTTAAATGAATGGCGTCATGGATACCAACCAACTACACCAAATGAATTCTTTAACATGAAACATTCATCGGCAAGAAATGTTATTGAATGATGTTTTGGCCTTCTAAAGAAAGATTGGCAATGTGTTTATGATATGGTAAACGGTTCAAACACAAGCGGTTTTGGTTATGACCCCGAAAAGCATTGTGTTACTTCTGAGGATCCGATCTGGGAGGCGTACCTACAAGTACATTTTATTAATTAAGTGACTACATGGAAATATTTTGCTTTTTGTTTTTTATATGAATTATAATATTGGTAAATAGGTACATAAAGAAGCGACTAGATGGAAACACAAAACATTTCCTTATTATGAAGATCTTTGCATTGTTTTTGGAAAAGACCGAGCTCAAGGAAATAGAGCTAGAGATTTCATGGAGATGGAACAAGAGGTGAATTTAGAAGAAGAAACGCAAGATTCAGATGACGATTTTCTAGATTCAGAGGAAGTTAGTCGTACTACAGCCGTGCAACATGATGAAACTTCACCGAGTGTTCGTTCCAAGAAGAGGAAAAATCGAAGCGACGAGGGGTTTAACAAGGCGGTTGGCTTAATTACAGAAACTCTTAAAGAAATATCAAAGGACTTGAGTGAAGGTATTAAATTTGATATGAAGATTAACGAGTTAAGTGAGAAGATCCCTCCGGCAATTTTAAAGATGAATTCAATAAGTCAACTTGAAAAGTTCAAAGCTTTGACCAAGATAAGAAGTGATCCCATTAATGTTCAAAAATTTTGGGAAATTGAAGAAGGTAATAGAGAAGCTTGGATAAAATACATTTTGGAAGGGTAGTATTACCAGTTGGGATATGCATTGGATGTAGATCGGTATTTTGCATATGAAAGTTTTTGGTGCCTTCGATTTGGATGTAACGAAATAATTTACGTTAACTTTTTTTTTGGTAACAATATTAAGATATCTAGTGAAGAAGGTGATAGCTTTTAAATTATGTTTTTTGTGGTAATATTATTGGGATGTGTATTTAAAGAATTTTATATGAAGTCATTTGCATGATTTTCACATTATATTAACACAAACACTCAATCAATTAAATTAAATTTATTGTTTTTATAATTTATGTAATGTATCTTTACATATAAATTAAAAAAGAAAGTAAAATTAAGCAATATAGACAAAAATATCAATTCTATCATTTTACATGGATTCCAATTCCAATTCCTGCGAACCAAACAAAATATGGAATTAATTCCAATTTCATTTCCTGCCTGTCAACCAAACAAGATATAGAATTTGATTCAAATTCCTGACAGATTCCTTTTTCAATTCCAAATGCAATTCTTTCAGCAACATTCTGCGAACCAAACAAGCCCTTAAATAATATTATAGAGTGGTTTAACAAATCTCAAGGTTTTGTCATTTCATTGACCAATTATCAGCTTTATGAACAATTATTTTTGGTTTTTTTTGTACGACAGTTAAAGGAAGATTTACATGCTTACAACACAGACTATTTTCTTTACCAATAAACTAACATGTTTATTCGCAGTACGTCACTATACTGTAACTGATCATTTAACAAGTGATGATGACATAGCACCGGTTTTATGCGATGTGTGTGCCTAGTCAACATATACGAGTAGAGTCCTTATGTTCAATGTGCTACAAAAATTTAATAAACATGGAGGATAGATATTTTACAAAAACAGTATCTATAATCCATATAATCTATACCTAAAAAGTCAATTTCTGTTTGCAACATCACTAAATCTGAATACTATTATTATTAGCTCATAGGGAGATACAAAATTTGAGGGTGTCTTAAAAAGACAGATCAAGTAGTCTTTTTTGGGTCGTTATTTTCTTCTTGTTGTTGAGGAGGAGGTTCAAGGGTGGTGGTGTCTTTCTTCTCCATGACTTGTTGTATGCCTTCTTGGTAACCTTGTATGAAGCTCTTTAATGCATCCCTGTAAGCAGATGCTCTAATCATATAAACCCGTTGCAAAGCTGGCCTAAGTGTCTCCATTCCACCTCGAGCAGCAACAGCTATCATCATTATCACAACATCACAAAAAAAAAATAAAAAAAAGTAAATTCAACTTCACTGCTGTAATTGGGTAAAAATTTCAAAGTATAATTTCTAAAAAGAATGTAAGCAGGATGCATAAATAGTAGAAAAAAGATTTTTGTGAGATTTACCAAGATCCTCCAATGTTGAAGGTTCCGATTCTGTGTTGGAACCCGTTTTCCCATCATTTTCATCTCCTGATTTTTCCTTGTTTTTGTATTCATTTGGTCGAAGCTCTGGACCTATATCTCTTACCCAGCTTGCAGCATAAAGTCTAGTTGCTTCCTTCATCACCTGAAAAATAATGATTATAAAACACATAGTAGTTTTATAATAATGAAACTAATAGATAAATAAGAAGAAGAAGAAGAAAAAAAAAATACTCACCAAATATCGTTCTTTCCAAGTTAATTTTCTACGTTTTTTGAAATGAGGTGGGTCGGGCAAAGATGAGGGGAATGCAATTTCTTTCAAATCATAGCGGACATAATCACGAACTTTCCTCCAAACTATTTTCACCTTCATTTTGAGCTTTGAATTACCTCAATGTTTTTCTATTTACAATTTACGGGTTCACTAGAAAATTTCCTTGAGATGTTGATGCCCATAAAGAAACCTAAAGGGGGAGATGAAATACATGATCTCAATTGAATAACTTCTGTTGGAATTATAATTTAATCAACGACGCTTGAAATTGAATGTAGTAGGACTAATTAAACTAAACCAACATGAAACATCAAGACAGAAGATCAAGTCAAATGCATTTTTCCTTTAACACTCTCCACTCCCAACAGAAAGTTCCTAGAGACTAAGATTGAGGTAAAACATAGTTCCATAATCAATAAAGATGAATTTCCCAAATTAAAGTAAAGTTTTATTCAACATTTCATAATCTCACCATGAGACTAAGATTGCCAATGGATCATAGATTATAATGGAAATACACAACCTAAGCATAACATCAAACTCGTATCATCGTTTTAAACCACAAGTCTTGATCTAGAACACTTAGGGTTTGTAAATACCCAATTCATAACATAAAAACTAAACTTGAATCAAATCCTAAAAAAATCTCACCATTAGTCGTGAATCAACAAATGGGTCTTGGATTTGAAAGAACATAAGTAATCTAATCTCAAGTTCAAGCTCATATCATTGCTTGGAACCATACATTTCGAATCTATGAACTCTAGAATTGAAAATACATAAATCATCAATATAGAAGTTAAATTTGAATCAAATACCAAATAATCTCGCCACAAGTTATAATTTGACAAATGGATCATGAATTTGAAGTTAAATACAATCATTAAGCATAAATCAAGCTTATAACATGACAATAAACACCAACTTCGAATTTCACCATTGGAGGTCAAGGAAGCCCATCAAAACAACTCTAATCTCACAGTTATTAACTAATTGGAACTTGGAGATGGACCAAGGAACGAAATTACATCAATAATCTCATAAGAACATAAAAAATGAAGTATGAAATTCGAATTTATACAAACACATAAACCCTAGGTTGAATTTACGGAAGAAAGGGTGAAGAAGATACCTCCAAGCTAGATTATCAAGAGGAAATGATGGGGACTCAACCAACAATCTTCAAGATTCAAACACCAAGAAAATTTGAAGGAAAATCGAGTTTGAGAGGGAGAAAACCGTTGGAAACCAAATGGAGGAGAAAGGGTTAAAGAATGAGAAAAGCTCGAAAAAAACAGAACTTATAATCTGTTTAGTGAAGCAAAAGCACAACGCGTTTGTAATGGGACGACACACTCCCTCAAAAATCATTTCATATTTTTGATAAAAGTTATATTTACTCTACAATTGGTTTTTCTCCATGATAACTCATGCATACCTAATTCAAGATACAAGATACTTAGTGGTCGTTTGATAGTTGTTGATTGGGTTAGAGCTGACTGAGTGAGGAGTTGACTGGGTTAGAAATGTTGACTGAGTTCACATCTGATTGAATTTATGCTGTTTGATTATTTATCTGACTGATTGTGCTGAATGATTAAAATGACCATATTATCCTTATGTTGTTCTTTTGTACTGGATAAAATAATTATACAAATAAAAATTATCACATAAAATCCAAATTAAACATACATAATTAAAATCCAAATACGAAGTGTAATACAAAACCCAAATACACATTGTCATACATAATAAAAAAATATATCATTTAACGTGAACCATTTGAAAGTAACTGATTAGCAATCTAGTCAAGTAAAGTAGTCATATACTCAACGGCTTCCGAACCCCATTCCATGTCTTGTACGTTTTGGCCCTCACTTCCTCCACCTCCCACATTAGGAGTAAAAATAGTGTTTTGTTCAAAGTTCGTAAATAGGTCATCTTGAATATCGTATTTCTTTATAAAATTATGGACCGCGACACAGGCAATGACTATGTCTCTTTGCACTGGAAAAGGATAAGGAGTCATACGTTTTAAAATTGGAAATCTCGTTTTCAATACACCATAAGCACGTTCAATGTAATTTCTAAGTTGTGCATGAGCATGATTGAACCTTTCTTCCTTAGTTAAAGCTCTGTTTCTTCGAAAATCAACTAACCAATACCTAGTATTGCGGTAAGGAGCCATAAATCCACGGGTGTTGGTGTATGCGGCATCACAAAGGTAATATTTATCTGTAAATGGGTGACAAATTAATCATATTAATAATATAGATAATAAAACTTATAGAAAAATGACAAGCCTGGTGGAGGGAATGGAAATCCAGAAGTTGGATTAAATGCAACTTCTTTCAAAACTTTGGAATCGTGTGCTATGCCTTCCCATCCCGCCCATACAAAGGTGAATATCATATCAAAATCACAAATTCCTATTACATTTTGATAACATTCACCTTTTCCTCTTCCCCTATAGCGAGTTTGTTCATCAACGGGCATAACTGCATGTACAAGTGTTCCGTCTAGTGCACCTAATGCTCCAGGGAATATGTTTTTTAGCCGTCTATAAGTTTCCGAGGTATTTCTTGTTGTATTAGAAGATGTTGGTACAATAATTTCTCTTGCAAAGCACATCATTGCTTTTAGCACTTCATGAAAACATTGATGAATCATTTGTATGGAGTGGTGAAATCTTTCTTTAACAGCTCGAAAACGTTCATTATGTCCTATAACATGTAAAAATATAGCTATCTTCTCTTCAACGCTTATTGTTCTACTATGTTGCAACCAATTTCTTTGAGTAAAATGATTACATAATAATACAAATGCATCATGTGTAAGACATATCGTATCAAAACATTGTATAGGATCTCTATGTATCAAATCTTGTGTATATGCATGCCCAGTTTCTTCCGATTCGTTAGCTTTTATTCTTTCAATTCTTTCAACCAATAGCATGAGAGTATAAGGAAACCTAAAAACTCACCTTCCTTATCCATATGTAACATGTTACATGTTAATACAAATCACATAAATTTTATAACATAAACCATAAAATTAAAATGGATGACATATAACTTCATAAAATAAAAATCCATAACAAAAAAGTCAATACCAATTAACAATCCTAAACATAACACATAAACAACCTAAACTTAAAAATCCTAAACATAACACAGAACAACCCTACACATAAAAATCCATAACATGTACCATAATATAAATCCATAAAACATAAAGACAAAAACATCCTAAAGTCATACTAAAGTCAACCAAGTAATCCAAAATTCTTTCCCGCACTTTTCACCCACAACTCACAAGTCGAAGACGCGAGGCGTAACCAAATCTTCCTGTTACCAGCATTTTCAGCAAACAACATAAGTGTAGTGATGTACTTCGGAT